CCCGGCAACGCCCCGAGCTCCTCAGCACTCGACCCGATCAACAGCCATTCGTGCCAGAGCAGGTTCCCCTTGTACTTCACGGCCACCAACTGGCCAGGCCTGAGCCTAAGCAATGTGGCCTCTTCGGTGCCGACGCCGCCCGTCTCTGTCACCAGGCGAGCGCTCTTCGGAAGCAGGGCCATCGGGTCCGCGCCTCTGCCACCAGCAGCGCAGCTGCAGCACCAAGGACACGCAGCCCAGCGCCCAGCCCAACCACTGGCCTCCTGGGGCCTCGCACTCCGGGCACTCGTACACGCACTCCGCCGGCACGGCCTGCGAGCAGGCCTCCTGCGGCTCGGGCTCGCTGGAGCTCCCGCCGCCAGGAGGGGGCCATGGCCCGCCGCCCCGCCAGGCCTCGAGCTCGCTGACCGTATCCGCCACGATCTCGCGCACGCTCGGACCCACGGGCGCAGGCGGCGCGGGCCGCTCGGCCTCGGGTGCCAGCCGCCGCACCTCAGGCAGGCTCGCCAGCAGCACGAACACGGCCCACTGCCAGTGAGCCAGGCTCGGGCTGAGCATCCAGCGGCCGGCCTCCCCGCTCCCCGGTTGATCTCAGGAGCCAAAGGCTATGTCAGGAGATAGGGGGAGCGATAGGACGTGATCATCATCATCATCATCATCATCATCATCATCATCATCATCATCATCATCATCATCATCATCATCATCATCATCATCATCATCATCATCATCATCATCATCATCATCATCATCATCATCATCATCATCATCATCCATCATCATCATCATCATCATCATCATCATCATCATCATCATCATCATCATCATCATCATCATCATCATCATCATCATCATCATCATCATCATCATCATCATCATCATCATCATCAGCATCATCATCATCATCTCATCATCATCATCATCATCATCATCATCATCATCATCATCATCATCATCATCATCATCATCATCATCCTCATCCTCATCCTCATCCTCATCCTCATCCTCATCATCAGCATCAGCATCAGCATCAGCATCAGCATCATAATAATAATCATCATCATCAACAGCATCATCATTATCATTATCATTATCATCCATCATCATCATCATCATCATCAGCATCAGCATCATCATCAGCAGCATCAGCATCAGCATCATAATCAGAATCATCAACATCATCAGGATCGTCACCAGCATCAGCATCATCCCCCTCCGTCTGCTCCTCCTCCCCCTTCATCATCATCGTCATCGTCACCAACATCCTCAGCCTCGTCACCATCGTCATCATCATCCTCGTCCTCGTCACCATCGTCATCATCATCCTCAGCGCCACCACAACCATCACCATCATCAGCATGACAGTCATAACCATCAGCATCACCACCACCAACAGAATCTTCTCAATCCCACTAAGCAGCCAGTCCTCATCCTCAACATCCTAAGATCACTCTCATCATCATAATAATAATAATCATCATCATCATCAGCATCAGCATCAGCATCAGCATCATCATCATCATCATCATCATCATAATCATCATCATAACCATCACCTTCATCATCATCATCATCATCATCATCATCATCAGCATCATCATCATCATCATCATCATCATCATCATCATCCTTATCATGGTTTCTCCTCGTATCCTCCTCATCCTCCTCGCCCTCCCCCTCTTCATGGTATCCCCATCCTCATCCACATCCTCCTCCGCATCCTCACCATCACCACTACCACCACTACCACCATCGTCATCATCCTCATCATCATCCTCATCATCATCATCATCATCATCACCATCAACATCAACATCAACATCAACATCGTCATCATCATCAACATCATCACCATCGTTATCGTATCCGTCTTCATGATAACTCCTCTCCTCTCATCATCGCCACCGCCATCTTCCCATCATCATGATCATCGTCATGATACCCCTCGACGATATTCATTCATCATTTCCGTCGTCATTCTCACCAGAAGGCCGTGGGTGCCCTCTTGGGGAGGGGCTGAAAGGCATCTTAGAGGCCTCTCCAGGGCGTTTTCGAGCGACAGGATTGCCTTGATGAGGATGGGGGCTATCGGCGGCGAGGCAAGGACCTGCCCCTGAATATAAAGGGAGGAAGTCTCAAGCAGGGCCGCTGTTGTTTGTGGCAAAACGAAGTCTCGAGCGGGAACGCTGGTTTTGTTGGGACGGCGGTTGTCGGCGGCGAGGAAGAACGCCGCCTTGAGTAAGAAGGGAGGAAGTCTCGAGCAGGAGCCGTGGTTTTGTCGGGACGGGGGCTGTCGGCGGCGAGGAACAGCACCGTCCTGAGGGAAAAAGGGAGAAGTCTCGAGCGGGAGCGTTATTCTTGCTGGGAGCGGTGCCAACTCCAAAGAGAATATCCAGCGCAAAACGGGATGAAGTCTCGGGCGGGAGAGCTGGTTTTGTCGGGACGGCGGTTTTCGGCGGTGAGGAACAGCACCGCCTTGAGTAAAAAAGGGAAGTCTCGAGCGGGAGCGATGTTGCGGGGGGCGGCGCCGATGAGAGAAAGAGTAGGGCGCCAGTCCAAGGTAAAACGGGAAGAAGTCTCGAGCGGTAGCGCTGGTTTTGTTGGGACGGCGACTTTCGGCGGCGAGCAAAGGCACCGGCCCTGAGCAAAAAAAAGGAAGTCTCGAGCGGGAGCGTTGTTGTTGTTGGGGGGCTGGTTTTGGCGTCCCCCCAAACCGCTCGAGCGTGATCCTCAGTTTCAATGAAAATGTAGCAGGCGCCAAGAGAAGAGCGTCAAAGCGCCTGGGGGGTCCAACCAGAATAACTGCTCAGTTGTTAACATTCAACTATTACAACACCAACAACAACAACAACGACGACAACAACAACAACAACCACAACAACAACAACAACAACAACAACAACCACAACAACAACAACAACAACGACAACAATAACAACAACGGCAACACCAACAACAACGACAACGACAACGACAATGACAACAACAACAACAACAACAACAACAACAACAACAACAACCACGACGATAACAACAACAATAACAACAACGACAACAACAACAACAACCACAACAACAACAATTTCAACAACAACGACCAAACCAACAACCACAACCAACAACAACAACAACCAACAACAACAACAACAGCATTAACATCAACAACAACAACCACAACAACAGCAGCAGCAGCAACAATAACAACTTCAACAACAACGACAACAACCAACAACGATGACAGCAACAACCACAACCATAACAGCAATAACAACAATAACTTCAACAACAACCACAACAACAACCAAAACAACAACAACAACAACAGCAGCAGCAACAACAACAACAACAACAACAACAACAACAACAACAACGACTACTACTACTACTACTACTACTACAAAAACAACAACTACTGCTACGACAATTACTACTACTACTACTACTACTACTACTACTACTACTACTACTACTACTACTACTACTACTACTACAAACGTGTCTAGACCTCTGTAGGAGTCCGCGTGTTGACAACATCACGACGTCAGAGGTATGCAACTCACGTGACGGGGGTCAGAGGTATTCGTGGGAACGATCAGGGACAATCAAAGCCCGAGCACGGGGCTGCTCAGCCAGATTTAGTCACACTGAGCCCAGGATTCGGCAAAATGGAATGAGATAAAGCGCGATTAGAGAAGGGTCGGCCCGATTTCTCGACCACGGCCGACGCTGAATGCAATCCCCCAGGAGCTGCATCCGAGCAATCCGACCTGGTTTACCCTGGTTTCGGAACCGCGCAGGGCAGATTGAGACGAAGGCAGGAATGAAAGCCAATTCGGACGAGGGTAAAACGGATATCCGTGGAAATCGGCGGGTCTGAAGAATGTGTCCAGCGCCGGGTTGCCCGACCGATACCCCTGCCCCTCACCTCAGGCGAACGGGGATTGGGGGCTGCTCCGCGGCTGGCCCAGGTTCGCAACATCGCTACTCCTTCTCCTCCTCTGCCCCCTCCGTTTCCTCCTCCCCTTCCTCCTCATCCTCCTCCTCCTCCCCTTCCTCCTCATCCTCCTCCTCCTCCTCCTCCTCCTCCTCCTCCTCCTCCCCGCCTCCTCCTCCTCCATTCCTTCTCTTTCTAAATAACTTCTCCCTGTCGCACCCCGAGGCCAGTTGTTTGGGCGGGTAGGGCGTTTCGCCTGAGACGTCCTCACCATTTCTGACCCTGAAGGTTCAAGATTGGCAACAGTTTCACAGATGGAGAGCGGCCCGTTTTCAAAATGTGGCTCTCGCCTCGGCGCCGCGCACATGTGTTGTAAAACTTGCAAGAGCTTCACGGATCAATGGCGGCTCCTTTTCAAAATGTGGCTCTCGCCTTAGCGCCGCGCACGTTCGTTTGCTAACTTTGCAAGAGTTTCACATATTCCCATGATCAACGTACCAGACCTGGTGCTTGGGAAGGATTCAGGATTATGAGGGTGCAAGAGTTACGATCGTTCGCGGTGTTGAAGTCCCAGGAACGGCTTTCTGACACGATCCAGGATCGTCAAGACGCAACAGTCAGGTTGATCCGTGGCGTTGGAATTCCGAGAACTATGCTTTGACATGCTTCAGGGTCTTCAAAGTGTCGTCTTCCTACGAGGCAGTTCCCTCAGTGGAAATGAACCGTTGTAGGAGCCTATGAAGAGGGAGCTGGGGGGGATGGTCAATTCCAACATCGTTAATGACTCTTGGGTTTACACTGGTCCTCCTCCTCCTCCTCCTCCTCCTCCTCCTGCTCCTCCTCCTCCTCCCCCCCCGCCTCCTCCCCCCCCGCCTCCTCCTCCTCCTCCTCCTCCCCCTCCTCCTCCTCCTCCTCCTCCTCCTCCTCCTCCTCCTCCTCCTCCTCCTCCTCCTCCTCCTCCTAGGTCCTCCTCCACCTCCCTCGCTCGAGGGGGGGCCGCTGTCGCCCCGCGGCAGCGGGGCCGCGGACGCCCACCGGCCGGTGCGGGGCGCGCTGTGCGCCGGGCTGGCATCGCGGGAGGCCTGGCGTGGGCAGCGCGTGCAGCACAGGAACCTCTTCCTCAATGGCGAGTTTGGGACGGTTCCAACCATACGCTCTGCCCCGATCTCAGCCAGGCCGATCCTGGACTTGGGATGGGTACATAAGCCTTTCTGGCTTGGCCATCAAGTACACAAACACACACACGCACACGCACACGCACACACAAAAACACACACAAAAAAACACACACACACACACACACACAAAAACACACACACACACAAAAACACACACACACACGCACACACGCACACGCACACATTTCCAGGCGTCAGCGGGCAAGCGACTCGCCATGCCGTCGAACGCGCACGCGCGCCAAACAGGCCAGACCCTGACGGGGCTCACGGGGCAGTAGTCGGTCCCTCACAGGGCGGGCAGCGGCCGGGCCGGCGGTCAACGCTGAGGTGGCGGGCCAGGAACCCGCACGAAAGGCCAAGGCCGGCCAGAATCAGGACGACCAGGGGCAAGCAAGGCAAGGGACCAGTAGGACGACAGTGGCCACCACGGCCAGGGGCCATCAGGACGACCAGGGACCAAAATTCAAACGACCACGGACCAATTTAGATGACCAGGGGCCAGCATCAGGACGGCCAGGGGCCGAAGCCGGCCAGAATTAGGACGACCAGGGGCCAAACAAAAAGAGGGAGAAGCGAGGAGCGAGGAGCGACAGCGGACAGCCGAGGGAGGAGACAGACGAACGCGGGGGACGCGGGCCGACCGACCGAGGAGGAGGAGGAGGAGCCGAGGGGAAGAAAGGAGACACCACACACCAGAGGGCAAGGCAAGACACGAAGAGGGGAAGGAGCCAGCCGACGAGGGAGGCGAGGAAGAAGGAAGAGGCATAACACAAAAAGGCATGGGGGAGAAAAAGGAGGGGACCACAGGGCGACCAGGGGCACGCCCAGTGGGCATCACGAAAGGAGGCCGTTCCTCGGAAGGGGGGGAACGGCAGGGAAAGGAGGGGACGTCGGCGACAGGAAAAGAACGAGGGGGACGTGGCGGGGGGTGCAGGACACGCGGAGTAACCCCCCACAGAAGGGGGAAGGACAGCGGATTACCCCCCGCAGAGGGGAAAGTGGGCATGCGGGCTACTCCCCGCAGAGGGGAAAGGTGCGACAACGACGCCAGCGAGGGGGGAACTGCGGAAGAAGAGGGGACGACGACGACAAGGAGAAGGACGAGGAAGAAAGGAGGGGAAGGCGAAACATGCACGCTGCACCACGCGCTCAGCGGACGGCCCTCGAAATCCCCAGACGGGAAGTGCGACCCACCCCCGCATGCTGACTCGCGTGCAGGACTGCGCACAAGACCGCACGCGTGCAACGAGCGAGCAGATCTATTCAGGTGCGTCGCAATACTCTGGCAAAACGCGGATTACCTCCCGCATAACGGAAAAAAGGAAAGCGGATTACCCCTCGCAGAGGGGAAATGGAATGCGGAAAACACCCTCCGGAGGAGAAAGCCCCGCCGAGCGGCCACTGCAAAGAGCCAAGTGCGCTCGCACTACATCTGCCATCCTGCAGCAGTTTAACGCCATGCCAGGCGGCCATGAAAAAGGAGGCGGAGCCTCCAGAGCGGACACCCAGGGGGCGAAGCAGGGCGGCATGGGCATCGCCCTGCCAGCACCCCAGGAGAAAGGTGGAACGGCAGGGGGAGCACGGGACGACACGACCGACAAGGAGAAGGACGAGGAGGAAGGAGCGGGCGACGAGACATGCTAGCTGTACAAAGGCAGCAGGCACGACGAAAACATCGCACAAGCCGACCTGCAAGATGCAAACTCATCCAGTGAACCGAAGCCTGAACGACACTTCGCCAAAGCGATGCCCTGCATGATGGCCTGGGACCAGACATCCAGCGCGAAGCTCTCTACATCCTGGACATTCTAAGCAGGGTGGCGCGGCTCTCTATACACACAACAACAGCAACAACAACAACAGCAACAATAACAACAACAACAACAACAACTACAACAACAACAACAACAACAATCATTTTACCCGAACGCGTGGTGTTCTCCCCAGTGCCAGGGTTTTCATACGACACCAGGCAATACCCCCACTTCGTGGGGGGGCATTACAAGCTCTACCAAATATCCAAACGACTCTTCGCGACCACCCAAACCCAGCTTCCCGCCCTATGACGTTGGGACACTTCACTTCGTGGCGTGCGGACGACCGTGGCTACTACACTGGCGTGGGGTACACACCCACAGAACTTGGTCACTTATTCGGGGCGGTGTATGTCCCGCAAAAAAAACGAATCTGTCCCGCATGGTATTATTTGACAGGGATGATGGCCCTGGCAGGTGCGCAACCGTTGTCGCAGAAGTTCGAAAAAGTTGCTCGCAAAAGCCCGTTTGACAGAAATGTTTAAAAAGTGTTGGGTTTCCTACGAATCCGCAAGAGCGCGCGGGATGAGATTTTGACATTTTTTTGTTGAAAAACCATTGGTTTTTTGATGTTTTTATGTTAAAATCGCTCCGAACACTAAGCTTTTGGAAGGATTTCGTCTTGCGCGCGCGAATGTCCACTTTACCTTATTTTTTGCAAGGGATTCTTGAAATTTGATTATATTAGAACAAGAAATGTCATTTTATAGTGTTTTTTGCAAGGGAAAGCGGATTACAACAAAACAACCGGATCTTGATCAACTCGAATTACCTGAGGCTTCCTCACGAAAATGATGAAAACGTGGCTGCGGCCTAGGCGCGGCGGGGGGGGCGCGCACCAGGGGGCCCAACAATAATTATTCTTTAGAATTAATAATGTTCAACAACAACAACAACAACAACGACAACAACAACAACAACAACAACAACAACAACAACAACGACGACGACAACAACAACAACAACAACAACAACAACAACAATAATAATAACAACCACAACAACAACCGTTTGCAACAACAACAACGACAACGACAACGACAACGACAACGACAACGACAAGAACAACAACAATAACAACAACAACAACAACAACAACAACAGCAACAACAACTACTACTACTACTACTACAACAACTACCATAACCACAATCACAATCACAACCACAACCACAACCACAACCACAACCACACACACACGCGTTGGTTCGCGTAAGCGCCCCGATGGGGCACCAATCGAGCGGCACATATGCATCGACCCATGCAGCTGGCGGCGACTACATCACTAAGGCACAAGCCCGATCAAGCGTATTCTCGGCTGCCCCGATCGCGGAAATTAGTATGGCGGCCACAGATAATGACCGAGATAACATGCCAAGAGGCTCGCAAAGGAAAGGCAAGCGTCGCTGAGGGGCATCCTCGCACGGGCCGAACACCGATTTTCCCGAGCAGAAGCAGAGAGCAAGTGTGGCGGCTCGCACCTTGCAACCACGGACTGGAAGAGACGCCCTGAGGGCACCGCGGAATCCCACCAGCCCTCTGGGCGACAACTGGTCTAACGAGGGTCTCTTTCCTCTGCTACAACCCCTTTTCCCTTCGGGGAGGGGAACCCTCCCCCATCCCCTCCCTGAGGTTGTTGGGGAGGTTCCGCGATGTGTCGGAAGTTCCTTTTTCCGGCCATTGGTATGGCCATTTTCTGCCACCCCTCACGAGGATCGTGGCCCCCGAGGGGGGAGCCCAAATCAAGTACCCCCCCCCCCTCTTTTGACCGACCACCTCCACGATGGCCCCAAGAGGCCCTCCAGAGCTCCCTGGAGGCCCCCAAGAGGGTTTCACGAGCGCCCCAAGAGGCCCCAAGAGCGCTCCAAAAAGCCCCCGGGAGGCCCCCGATAGGCCCCCAAGGGGCACCCCAGCGGCCTCTGAGAACCCAAAATGACCTCCAAGTTGGCTCAAATAGCCCAAGCTGGCTCAAGGTGGCTCCCAAGATGCTCCAAGCAACCCCGAGACCGCTCCAAGACGGCTCGAGATGGCCACAGAACCTCCCAAGCTTCCCTTGCTGTTTGACTATGCGTGTCTCTTCCTCTCTCTCCTCGTCAGCTGTCGTGGGCATCGTTTCTGGATGGGCTGGTGGGGATTTCTGTCGCAACCGCAGGCGAAAGCGCAAGCGGCGTATCGAGTCGGCTCGGGCTACGAGCGGAACTAGTTGCCCGACGCGCGCGCAGGCACTAGCAGAACCTACCGCCGAATGTTGGTGGGGATACTTTTCCGTCGCAGCCACAAGCGAAGGCGCCCGCAGCGGGTCGAGTGGGCTCGGGCTACGGGGGAACCTAGTTGCCGGCGCGCGCGCGCAGAGGAAAGCAGGACCTGCCGCTGGGGGAAGCAGCTGCGCCGGGGCCGTGCTGCAAACGCCGAGGCTGGGAACCAGCGCCGAGGGTGGGGACTGCAAGCTGCTGGGGCTGCCACGAAGCTGCAAACGTGCGGGCGCCATGGGAGCTGAATCACCAGGTTCGTGCATTGGACTTTGTCGCCACAGGGCGCCAGAGGACGGTGCGCCACAGACGTGGCGAAGCGCGGGACGACTGCAAGCTGCTGGGGATGCCAGGAAGCTGCAAACGCGCGGACACCATGGGAGCTGAATGTTGGTGGGGATTTTTGTTGGTCAACAGGCTCGCGAGGCGGGTCGAAAGCCGTCCGAACACTAGTCGGGCCGCGACTCGGCAGCAGGAAAAGAAAGGCAAGTTGGCGGGGGTACTTTTTGGCGCGGCCGCAGGCGAGCGCGCCAGCAGCGTCAGAGGTCGGGCGGGCTACGCGCGAGCCTAACTGCCTAGAGCAAGGGGGACCGACGGCCGACCCTGAGCTGCCTAAGCTGCCTAAGCTGCCGCGCTGCGCGAGGTGGTACCAGGAAGCGGGGCAAGGCCCCAAACCTTGCCGGCGGGCGATGCAAACTGCAACCAGGACCAGGATCCGGGGGCAGTGCCGATGCACGAATTGAACAGAGGAGCTATGCGCAGCCGAAATTGGTGGGGGTACTTTTTTTGGTCGCGGGCGGGCGCGGAATCGCTGTTGCCGAAGGAGAGGTCCGGGCCACGG